ATTTTTTTTTTTTGGGTACAAGAAAGGGAGGCCAAAGCAACGGAAAGCTTAAACTAGAACACTCATAGGATGAGCTACGCCAATTCTATCGTGAAGTAACCACATGCTCGCCCCGATTGAGGACTCGCCAACCTCTGCAACCCGCCAGGGCCTTTCGCCGCCAAAGAGGCCAAATAATCCGCCATAAAATTTGCTTTCCGATAACCATGAATAATGTCCAACTCCCAACGACGATCTAAGAGCTCCTTTATACCCCTCAACAATCCACCATGCGGCCCGCTATGATGTTCGTGTAGAACCATATCGATAATGCTCTTATTGTCAACTTCCACTATGATCCTTCGAGCACCGATATCCTAAGCCAAATGTAGGCCCTGAAATCTCAGAGCTCCGCTCCTACGATCGAGCAAAACCAGATATTCACCACAAAACCATGCACCCAATTCCCAAAATGATCCCGTATTACTTCCCCGGCGCTAGCCATTCTCGTCGACGGATCAAAACTCCAGTCCGTATTGACTTTCAACACATTCACCGCCGGGCCCGACCACGAAATCCAGCACCGCTCCCTCACTCCACATGCGCCGACTAACTGGTTCCTAGCAGATGTGCATCGAACCATATCTATGAAGGAAAAACCTCGTCAATCCGCCGGGCCATGGGTACGTCTGAATCTTGGAAAAGCTTGAGATTCCTCCACCGCCATAACCTCCATGTCGTCAGGCCGAATATCGACTCCTAGTCATATGAGCCCGGCTTAAGTTACCGGTAAGATTTTCCAAAAACCACCGTTTAATATCCAAAGAGAAGAAGACCCTCCAACAACCGCGAGGGACCAGCTTTTTCCACGTGAGGGCCGCCATAGGACAGTCCCGTAGCGCATGTAACGTAGACATAGACCAGTTTTGGTTGTATAGAAGATATGATATGACACAAAATAATTGAAGATATAGACATAGACCAGTTTTACTGTGGAGCCATCAGATGGCTCGGCTTATAAAGACGTCCACACTTATTCACCAATAGTGTATTGACACGTGTCTTGCAACAATAAATACACTTTTGACATGTGTCAATACATTAAGTGGTGGATGGCTCCATAGAATTTTTGTAGACATATATGAAACTCCATTTATTAAAATAATAAAAATAAAAAATTGATCAACGACCTATTGGGTTGATGACTATATGGACTTAAACCCGTTTTGACAATTCTATGTTTAAAGGTTTCTTTATGTGTACATGCTTTTACACGAGAAAAGATTAGTATAACGTGAGTCAAAATTAATTGGAAAAGATACATCCAAATTTAGCCATAAATTTAAAGGAAATACAAAACATCATTAATCGTTTTTGTTTTCTAATGAATACTAAAATTCAAGATTCTTATTTGTTCGATATTCTATTGAGTAGTATCAATATAAAGTCACATAAATTCACGATTGGTATGAATGTGTACGAGTATATTAAAAGCAATCATATCAACACATTCATAAAAATAAGTTTTGAATCTACAATTCACTATTCACTCAATAACCTACACAATGAAGGACTATAAATTCATGTTCTTACGAAAAATGATTAATTTAAAAGTTCATTAATATTTACTCAATATCCACGTGACACAACCCTAATAAACATACATGAATTCCTAATTTTGTTAGTAAAACTTTGTTCGTCAAATCTAAAAAGTGCAACAAAGGAGTGTCATATTTGGGACATCATCACTAAATTCAACTACTTCTTTTCTACTTAAAGCCTCCAATACTTTTTCTTACTCATATGGACAATTATTTGACCCTTTATTCCATTTAGCAAAACAATGAAAAAAGTGAAAAAAAAAAGAAAAAAAAAAACCACGAATTTATCCACAAAACCCCTTTACACGCATTTCCTTCACTTTGTCACCACAATGGAATAAAAATAGCACAAGACTTATCTTATCTCACAAGTCACAACCATAGGAAAAAAGTAAAAAATTGATCTATTGATTTTTTAGATTTCTTTTTAAAAGTTAAAACTCCACAATTTTAAAGCTCCTCATACTCAAGAGCTTAGTCGGTGAGTTTTAAGTCTTAACAAGTCGAATTCAGGTCATAACGATATGAGCTATTGGCAATTACACTGAAATTAGGGGTGTAATCGAGCCGACTCGACTCTTTAACTAAACAATTTAGTAATTGAGCTCAAACTCCGCTTGTTTGTTAATATTAACAAGTCGAACTCGAAAATTAAGGAGCTGAATTATAGAAAACTATACATAAAAATGTATTACTTTTCAGGCTCAATGAGTCGAGTCGAACCGAGCACAACTCGTTAACTGAATGAACTTTCAACAAGGTCGAGCTGAACTCGTTTATCAATACTAATTAAAATTCATATTTTTGAATCTTAATGTGTCGAGGCTCAACAAGCTCGAGCTTGGCTATTAATGAGTCGAATCGAGTCAACGGATGACTTGGTTTAACAACTCAAATCCCAACATCAAAACCCTAAAAAAGAAAATATGCAAAATCTATATATATATATATATATATATATATATAATTGCCGACAAATTTCAATAAATTTCATTCAGCCACAATTATTAATAATATGAGTTCATTTAATTAAAATATGTGTTCATTAAATAAAAATATGTTCAACATTTAATAAAAATCTTTATGACTACCATTCAAATGATAGTTACACAAGTAAAACCTTATTATTATTAATTTTTTATTCTGTAACAACTTTACAAGATTTTAAATTTTCTGAATATATAATATTAAATTATATTTTTACTACTATTCCTATTTTGTATTATAATTATACAATAAAAAAAACTGATTTATACGGAAGTTAAATAATTTATATTTATATTATACATTTACATATAGTCAAAATTTTAATATGTAATACACACTTTATCTAATTTTTTAAATATCACATACGTACATACATATAATATATAAAATTTTATTTCCCTTTGTTCATGTGCACAAGATCAAATACTAGTGAAAAATATAAGGGGGTGATTGTTTATGAAATAATTTGTTCAAAATGAATTATTTTGGTGAACTATAGTTAATTTTAAAAAAAGTGGTATGGTTAGTTGTTAGTAGAATTTTAAGAATGTATTATAATAATATTTAAAATAAAATTATTAAAATTGATTTGATGTAAAAGTAGAAGATAAATGATTGGTAGTTAAAATTATGTGAGTGGATGAACAGTGGTTTGAAATTGATGTGATGTGTAAGAATAATTAGTTTGTATTATTTAATTATATAAATAATATTAAAGATAGAGGTTAAATTAAAATTGAGTTAGATTTTAAATATAAAATAAATGAGAATAAAATCATTCATAAACAATCAATCCTAAAATTCCCCTTTCAATTCTCCTCCGTGAACCACTCACCAAAACTTCATTTATTTCTCTTCTTTTCTTTCAGTACCCCGAAAAAAAAAAAATAAATAAATAAATAAAAAGGAAAGAGAGGCAAAGGCGAGGTTTTTAGCTATGAGTTCCCTTGCACCAACAGACTGCATTGATGGAGTCCGGCAGAAAAAGCCATGAGGACGAAAGCCCACATTGCTGAAACAAATTACTGCAAATGGGGAAGGGAGAGAATGAGCGTAACTTGCCGAGTACAACGCTTGATGCACGGGGTGCAACCCCAGGCGCTGGGAGCAGTAACGGGTGCTGTTTGAGCTGCAGTAGGTTCCAGAAATTGCTGAGCTTAAGATGTGTTCTTGTGCTGGTGCTGGGTTTTGGGGTGCTTTTGTCTGCGGTTTTTTGGCTTCCATTCTTTCGATTTGGGCGCCATGAAGATCTGGATCTGGACTATGGAGGTTCGTGCATTTTTGCTTGTCGTTTTTTCTCACGTAGTTAGCTTTCTTTCCCAGCAGATAACCTTTTTTTGGGTTGGTTTTTGCATTTTGCTGTAAGTTTCTCAATTTTGTGCATTTTGAGAAACTTGGATTTGATGGGTTTTTTGTTATTTTAAGTTTTTGGATTTTGTGATGCTTCACTTGTGATTGGGTTTTGAATATAATGGTAAAGTTGGGAACTTTATTGAAGTTTGTGGTGATAAGCAAATTTGAATTTCTTTGATTGTATTTCTAATGTTAGAGGTGTTAAGAACTTCCTTTTTTCTTGAAGATTTTATTTATCAAGATATAATGTTAGTTAGTATGTTGATGAATTGCTTATTTTGAAACTTCTTTTATTTCTTGAAGATGAATTGCTTATTTTGGAACTTCTTTTATTTCTTGAAGATTTTATTTCTTTTATGAAGTATATAATTGTTAGTGTGTTGATGAATTGTTTATTTGACAACTTGTTCCTCCCCATACCTCGTCTTTTTGGTCTCTGGATGTTTTGTTGATCTTTCCTTTTCATTTTCTTGTTTCCTTACATTTTTTTCGCTTCTGCCCCATGAGAATGGGGGACATGTGGCATACCGTGACTGTTTGTGTGTTGTAATCAGACATTATTTTTTGCTCCTCCCGCACAAATTTGTTTTGCGGTGCTGCATGAGTGCCTATTTTGAAGCTTTGCTTATGATTATTAGAAATTGTTTACTAGAAGAGTTTCAAGGATCAATTGGCAAAAAATGTGTTAGCTTCATGAAGTGACTAGATTATTTTCGTGCATCATAATACTACTAGTATTAATTCCGTTTTGCCACGTGTGATGGCATTTCAATATTTGTTACTTGATAAAATATTCCGTTAATGGTTTCAACTTCATGGCCATCCTGTTTGCAGAAGTTCTTCATTTAATGCTATCAATGAGTATAGTTTATGAAACTTCACAAATCTCTGTACTAAGTACTAAGAATGGTTGTTTGATGTTGTTTCGTCAATATTTGTCTGCAACTAAGCGTTTTTTTTCAATTCTGTCATAAGAGAAGAATATCTTTATTAATAGTAATAAATGTTTGATACCTTACAGGTCATAATATAGTGGCAAGTTTTGTGCTGAGAAAGCCGGCTTCGTTTCTTCAAGACTACAGAATGCAACTTGAGGCTGATATTTTCGACGAGATGAGCTTTGCTTCTACTAAAGTAATTAATATTCACTCTTTTAGAATTTTGTTCTCAAACTTTGTTAGCTCTTGTTTCTTCTCATGCAGTGATGACTAATTAATCGCACATATATAATTCTTTACTGAACATGTTGAAGTATCTAAATAAGGACACGATCCTTCATTAATTGGTCTGACTTTTCTGTTTGGGGAAAATATGGGGATCTCCCAATTCCTAAAGATGAATTAATTAGTTCTTAACTTAAATCTTTTTACAAGATTATAGTTTTTCTACAATAAAATTGATCAGCCACTTGGAAAGACCTCATAACCTCGACTAAATACCCGCTTATTATCCACGAGTCATTTATCCCTAATCGCGTCAATTTGGGATTTCAATGGTATTGTGGATGAGAAACTTGTAAATTTTATATGAACATTTATGCTCTAATTTGACATCCTCCCTTTTAGCCTATATTTGGTAACCAAATAAGTTAACTTATAGGTTATTTGGTTAGGTTATAAGCTTCGTGTATTGAAATAAGCTTCGTTTGATAGGACAAATTTTTTTAAAAAACTCGAGCTTATCTCATAAGCTTTTTAAATAAATAAGCTCGCTCGTTGAAATTTTTATTTCAGCTAGCTTATCAGCTAATTTTATCGCACACTTTTATCATATAAGCTAGCTTTTCAGCTATAAGCTATAGGCTCGAAAATCACTTATAAGCTATAAGCTAGCTTATCAGCTAGTTTTACCAAACATAGCCTTAGTCAATTCTGCCATTTTCTAATTTTGCCCCAAAACCTTGATAGAGTTTCCTTTCTATGACAGGTTGAAATAATATCCTTAGAATCATCCGACAATCTGAATGTAACAAAGGTTGTGTTTGCAGTCAAGTCAGATGTGACTACCCGGAGTTTAATCCGAGCCTCCTTTTTGTCTATGATTACACGCCAATCACCTCTTCATCTCACCGAATCCTTGTTTGGGGATCCTATGGACTTTGACGTGCTCAAATTCAGGGGAGGGATTACAGTAAGCCCCCTCGAGCAGAAGGCTTTCCTAATGCAAAATGTTCAGATCATTTTTAATTTCACTTTGAACTTCTCGATTGATGAAATCCTAGTCAATTTCGAAGAACTCAGGAACCAACTGAACGCGGGCCTACATTTAGCTCCGTCCGAGGTTTGAAGATGTTCTTTCTTATTATTACTTTCTAATTCTTATTATTGTTAACTGATTATTTTTGAAACATGGTTGTGCTTTAGCTTGCCTATCTCACTTGTGTCACATAGTCTCTTTATATTAACTACTTTGAATAGTACAATACTCGTGTATTATACGGGTGCTTGTTAAGAAATTTATATTTAAAACTAAAAAAAAAAATTGTTTTAATTTTAAAATACCTTTTTGAAAGAAGAAAGATTAGGAAAAAAAAGTTATGCCTTATAAACCAATTCTATAATAGGAAATGATATTAAAATATAATTAATGCTCTTAAAAATGATCATAAATATCTATATTCCAGGCCTAGTTATTTTTGGATTGCAAGTAAATTAAAATCCATCTAAACTAAATGATAAAACATGAAAATTTGCCACGTAAGATTTTGAAGCATGCAAGTCTGCTACTTAGGCTCAACACATTCGGAAATTATATATACAAGGGTGTATATGAAAAAAGCTTATAATTACAAACTCTATCCCCGAACTTTAGGAAAATTGCAATGGTCACTTTTTCCTTTCCTGAATATATCACAGAACTTGTACATACGGCTGACTAATCTGAAGGGTTCGACGGTGGCTTCACCCATAACCATACAGTCGCAAGTCCTCTTAGCCGTGGGCATTAATCCCTCCACATTGAGGTTAAAACAGCTTGCTCAAACCATAACTGGGTCCCACTCGAAGAATCTAGGCCTCAACAACACTGTGTTTGGACACGTCAAGCAAGTCAGCCTCTCGTCTATGCTGCCAGCTGCTATTTCACCTTCACCTTCACCTTCACCATCAACAAGCCATAATCGTGGATATGTGTTTGGGGGAGAATCACCCGCATCTGCGCCTGTTCCTGCACCGCCTCCTCTGCCAGCCTGTCATCCGCCGAAGCACAATAGACATTCACACGTGGCGCCTCCTCATTCGCCGAGTCCCAGAGAATCGCGGCCGAAGGGGAAGTATTCGCCACCACCTAAACGGGCTCCGTTTCATGGGGCAAGCCCGCCAGGTGGCAGTAATTCGCCAGCGAGGAGTGTATATCGTGCGATGCCGATAGTTTCGTCACCCATGCCATCTCCATGTAAGGATATGATTTTTTCATTTTCGAGCTTTGTTTGACCACTGTCTTTTTTTTCTTTTTATTATTTAAATTTTAGTTGGACAAAAAATGGTACATACTTTATATGTATAGTCTTCTTCTTGGCAATTATTTAACAATTAACACCAAATTCTCCCGATTTTAACAATCTTGATTGAATATCATATCCCTTTTGCAGCCTCTACAGATATCTTGTCCTCCAACTCATGGGCTTTGCTGCTGGCCATATTATTAGTCCTGCTTTTGTAGTTCACCAGAAAATGAGAAGCATCATATTTTCTGAAGGCAGTAAAAAAAACTGCTCGAGGAGAACAATGAACTTCACAGAACTATGCTTCTCTGAGTTGTACCCCTCTCCAACGAGCCGCTGGAGGAATTTTGCTGGTGAGAGTTTATGCCAAATGCGCATTTCTCACGGGTCGATTGCATTAAAAAAAAAAAAAAAGTGGTCATTCTTTCTCCTGCTATCCCCTAACTTGCTGCGTTTTGGCAAGTCTTTTTTCCCTTCTTGAAGAAGAAGAAGAAACTGACCGAGATCACCAGCGAGGGCCCCATCATGTCATGCTTGTAAATATTTCGTTTTTCAAGTTGAAAATGAATCGAGGTCAAAGTCACAGAGGTGACGGGCCATATTATATTAATCTCCCACTTTTTTCATAAATTGAAGAAGGGGAAAAATGGACAAATGTATAAACATTGCTCTTTTGCTATCTAATAATATCTTACCATCTCACAAACTGTTGAATGTGAATTGTGGAGCAATTGTCTAATGTATTTCGTTTGTTTTGTATATTATGAATTGTGAAGCAATTGTATAAGCTTTTGAACGAGATTATCACTTTGTCGATACGTGACTTATAAGAAAAGACTGAAATTCTTACCACAAGCATTCATATACAGATACACTCCCAAATAAA